GGTTATCTTGAGATGATTTCGGGGCTTTTAGTGTCCCCGCGGCCCGGTCCTCGACCAGGCCTCCACCCCCAGGAAGCAGCCCGTGACAGCTGACTAACACCCAGGTACCTATTTTACTGCTAGGTAACAGGGGCATAGGGTGAAAGAAACTCTGCCCATTGTTTCTCGCCGGTGCCTGGGATCGAACCCAGGACCACAGGATCACAAGTCCCGCGTGCTGTCCGCTCGGCCGACCGACTCCCTGACTTACATTGTGTAGTTGTGGTGGCCCTCGACCTGCGGTGTATGGTTGTGGTGGCCCTGGACCTGCAGTGTATGGTTAAGGTGACCCAGGATCTGCTGTATATGGTTGTGGTGGCCCTGGACTTGCTGTGTATGGCTGTGGTGGCCGTGGACCTGCTGTATATGATTGTGGTGTTCCTAGACCTACTGTGTATTGTTGTGGTGGCCCTGGACCTGCATTGTATGGTTGTGGTGGCCTTGGATTTGCTGTGTATGGTTGTAGTGGCCCTAGACCGGCTGTGTATGGTTGTGGTGGCCCTGGACCTAGAGTGTATGGTTGTGGTGGCTATTGACCTACAGTGTATGGTTGTGGTGGCCCTGGACCTGCAGTGTATGATTGTGGTGGCCCTCGACCTGCAGTGTATGGTTGTGGTGTCCCTCTACCTGCAATGTTTGGTTGTTGTTTCCCTCGACCTGCTGTGTATGGTTGTTGTGTCCCTCGACCTGCTGTGTATGGTTGTGGTGGCCCTGGGCCTGCTTTGTATGACTGTGGTGGTCCTGGACCTGCTGTGTACGGTTGTGTTGTCCCTAGACCTACTGTGTATTGTTGTGGTGGCCCTGGAACTGCATTATATGGTTGAGGTGGCCCTGGATTTGCTGTGTATGGTAGTAGTAGCCCTGACCTGCTGTGCATGGTTGTGGTTTCCCTGGAACTGCAGTGTATAGCTGTGGTGGCTCTGGACCTGCTGTGTTTGGTTGTGGTCTCACTAGACCTGTTGTGTTTGGGTGTGGTAGCCCTGGACCTGCTGTGTATGGTTGTAGTGGCCCCTAGACCTGCTGTGTATGGTTGTTGTGAACCTAGACCTGCTGTGTATGGTTGTGGTGGCCCTGGACCTGCTGTGTATGGTTGCGGTGGCCCTGGACTTGCTGTGTATGGTGTTTGTGTCCTTCAACCTGCTGCGTATGGTTGTGGTGGCTCTGGACCTGCTGTGTAAAGTTGTGGTGGCCGTAGACCTGCTGTGTATGGTTGTAGTGGCCCCTGGACCTACAATGTATTGTTGTGGTGGCCCAGAATGTGCTGTGTATGGTTGTGGTGGCCCTTGAAATGCTGTGTATGGATGTGGTGGCCCTAGTTCTGCTGTGAATGGTTGTGGTGGCTCTGGACCTACATTGTATGGTTGTGGTCGATTTAGACTTGCAGTGTATCGTTGTGGTGGCCCTGAATCTGCAGTGTATGGTATTGTGACCCAGGACCTTCTGTGTATGGTTGTGGTGGCCCTGATCCTGCTATGTATTGCTGTGGTGGCCCTGGACCTGTTGTGTATGGTTGTGGTGTCCCTAGACCTACTTTGTAATGTTGGTGTTTCCCTGGACCTGCACTGTATGGTTGTGGTGGCCCTGGATTTGCTGTGTATAGTTGTAGTGGCCCTAGACCTGCAGTGTATGGTTGTGGTTGCCCTGGACCTACAGTGTATTGTTGAGCGGACCCTGGACCAACATTGAATGGTTGTGGTGTCCCTCGACCTGCAGTGTATGGTTGTGGTGGCCCTGGACCTGTAGTGCATGGTTGTGGTTGCCCTCGACCTGCAGCGAATGGTTGTGGTGCCCCCATGTCCTACATTGTATAGTTGTGGTGGCCCTCGACCTCCAGTGTATGGCTGTGGTGGCCCTGGACTTGCTACGTATGTTTATGGTGACCCAGGACCTCCAGTGTATGGTTGTGGTGGCCCTGGACCTGCTGTGTATGGCTGTGGTGGCCGTGGACCTGCTGTGTATGGCCATGGTGCCCCTAGACCTACTGTGTATTGTTGTGGTGGCCCTGGACCTGCATTGTATGGAAGTAGTGGCCCTGGATTTGCTGTGTATGGTTGTAGTGGCCCTAGACCTGCTGTGTATAGTTGTGGTGTCCCTCGACCTGAAGTGTATGGTTGTGGAGGCCCTGGACCTGAAGTGTATGGATGTGGTGACCCTAGACCTGCAGTGTATGATTGTGGTGGCCATCGACCTGCAGTGTATGGTTGTGGTGCCCCTGGACCTACAGTGAATGGTTGTGGTGGCCCTTGACCTACATTGTATAGTTGTGGTGTCCCTCGACCTGCGGTGTATCGTTGTGGTATCCCTGGACCTGCAGTGTATGGTTATGGTGACCCAGGACCGGCTGTATATGGTTGTGGTGGCCCTGGACCTGCTGTGTATAGCTGTGGTGGCCCTAGACCGGCTGTATATGGGTGTGGTGGCCCTAGACCTGCTGTGTATGGTTGTGGTTGCCCTGGACCTGCTGTGTATAATTGTGGAGGCCCTAGACCTGCTGTGTATGGTTGTGGTGATCGTGGACCTACAGTGTATGGTTGTTGTGTCCTTCGACCTGCTGTGTATGGTTGTGGTGGCCCTGGACTGTGTAATGTCGCAGTGACCCTCTATCATACTCAGCAAGAGAGAAAATATCGACATTGTCCTGCCTTATTGTGGATTACGCCTTTCAAAATTACTGTCCCCCTTTCCTACCCAAGAAGCTGATTAAAGAGGTAGTCATTCTTCGACAAAAAGACAATTTTGATTTGCTTTGCCTTACTTTAAGATTTGCCTTAAGCCATATTGATTCTGTGGTCAAAGTGAGCTCTCTTTCTTAAATTATTTACACTGATGGCTCCTTGCACCCGTCCTGTGGTGCAGCTGGAAGTGCAGTTGTTGTTACAGCGGGAGATGGCTCCTACTTCGATGAGTGTGGGGCGCGTATTAATAACTGGTCCTCCACTCTGATGGATGCCTACTAATACTCATCAAACAGAATTGGTTGCCATAATTCTTGAACTCGAACGCGTATATGAATCCAAAGTTGAACGTTAATTGTAAGTGACTCCTTGTCATCGTTGACTGCCCTCAGCTTCCCAAGGCATAACTGTGACGTGCTTGTTTCTAACTCTAGGCATGGATATAATGAAATAAACAAGAATGGTGTCAGAGTGTGTTTCCTGTGCAGTTCTTCCCATATTGTTCTCCGAATGCATGAAAGAACTAACGAGTTACTCAAAACTTTTGCTCGTAAAGAGGGAATTGGTTACCACCTTGGACTGCCTTTGAGTAGCTGAAGGGCAGTAATATTCCTGGAACAGGAACAAAATGTTATCAAAGGGCTAACAACACTGCAAACAAGGCATGACAGGCCGGATCTCACTGAAACTTAAAATACTGAACAATTTGGAGGACGTTGATCTGGATAATTTCTTCAAATGGTCAGATGTAACACAAACCAGGAGCAACTGTTTCAAGCTCAACAAGCCACAATGCAGGACTGAGAACAGGAGATGCTTTTGTACCCCACAGGGTTATAAACCCATGGAACCGCCTACCCACCGAATCTGTAAATGCCAAGACAAAATCTAACTGAAGAAGATTAAGGCAAATGGGGAGGGGGACTTTCGACAAGTCGCCGGCTTCCTGTCCTCGTGGAGGCCACTAGTGTCAGTGGCCCTCATGTAAATTCGGGTAAAATCTAGTTGACTTGAGGAAAAGTGAAACTCACACCTGTTCCTCCATCTATCATCATTCTATTGTGAAGGAAGAACCGTACATCTATGGGTCATCCAATAAGGTTAGCGGACTTTTAGCCTCTGGGAGTTTGCACCATTTGATGATATAGATCTAACTAAATGTAAACTCTGTCAGCAGAACCATTCACATACTCTACGGCATTATATAATTGAATGTGAGGAAAATCGTTGAATTGAGAGATAACACCATCAATGGAGTCCAAGAAATGTGTAAGTATTTCATTCGTAATGATGTACTGCCAGGAATTTTAGCGAAGTATCCCAAATTTGCTTATTGTATGTGCAGCCTGCACATGACGATGTCAACGCCATCTGTTGAGCGCCCCCGTCCACATTTTATTTTCCCGGTGGACGTCTCTGATCTTACTGACATTTGTGTAGTTTCCTTCTTACTATACAATTTTTACTCTTCAGACGTGATGTAGAGAGTACCTTGGTTGACAAGAGTCAGTTCACCCAGGGCAGTCCTGAGCGTAAAACTTGTTCCAGTGGGAACAAGTGGGCTGAGTCGGTGGAGACAGTGAATTGTCTGTGATGACCAGTGAAATATTGGTGACTGGACCGACGTTGCCGGGATGGCCTAGCTGTGTTACTAGACGGAACTGTCCCCTTAAGTTATGGCTTGTTACAGGTGAATCCTTTAGGGGAAGCCAGCCAGCGTGTTGCTGGAGACCAGCCAGCATGTTGCTAGAGAGTCGAAGTGGTGTTTTGACACTGATGTGATGCCGAGGACTGACCCATGATTTACTGAGAAAGGTGGACTCGCCGGCGTGAGTACCCGAGAAGAAAGGCTCAGGGAAGGTACCTTGAGTGTTGTACAATAGAAGACAGAAGTGGACTCGCCGGGATAGAAGATCATAGTTCTTTTGTAGTGTCCTGTGTGAAAGTGACACATGCAGTGTTATATGTTGTACATATGTAATATGTGTATAACGTTAAGAAGTACATGTGGTGATGGTTTTGTTTAGTGTTGTTTACCCACATTCCCGTTGGATTGTCTATTACTGCTCTGTTCTTAATAACTTACCTATGACTCGGAGTTGGATGTGATGAGAAGAGGCACTAAGGCCCGAAGCAAGTTAGAATTTAAAGAACCCGGTTACTGGCTAATCTAACCCGCAACAATAATAAATGACTAATCTCTAGCCTGGAGGGACGGTGTTGCGGGGGATGGGTAGTGATGGTGTTACTTACGACCGGGTTGAGTAGGAGAAGAACGGTCCTGGAGTCACCACACAGTGTGCAGCTGGAGGTGGTCTGGGCGGGAGGCTGTTGCCACACGCTACCACCACCACTCTTCCTGTCTCCGCTACTCAGTAGTCATCCTCCAGTGCTGGTCTCCGTGTCCGCCACTTCCTCCCAGTATCACGTATAACAGGACGATGAAATATTATTGGCAGCAGTTGTGACCTTCGTTTATGGTGGAGAGAACTGAGTGTCAGACACCAGCCAGTAGCAACTTGCAGGGATCACTCTCGCAACACGGAGAGAAATATCGCCCTGACGAAGTAAGCCCACATTCATCCTCTGTTTAATTCATCTTTTACAGTAGCAATAAAACATCACCTTCACTAATAATAATGTATCATCTTTACTAACAATAAGACCAATAACACTAAAAAAAACATAATTCCCAATCAATATTATAAAATACACATTATATATAATATTTACTCCATATACTTTGAAGAATCTAACCCATTCATTATGCAGTAATGTAAGTTAGAATAATAAAGACAGGTGGAACATTGGCGAATATAATATGTATTGGCTTTACCTACTAGCACGGTGGGTACATTAAAATGGGGTCACATCACTATCACGTTATGTACTGCATGAAGGTGCATCACTACGCACAGCCAGCTAGACAGGGAGTCCGGTTGTGCCCGGATCTCTCTCCCTCTCTCGGTTTCTATCTCCCCCTTTTCTCTTCTCCCCATCTCTTCCCCCTCTCCTCTTCCCCTTTCTCCCACAGAATCCACCTCTCTTCTCCATCCTTCTTTTCCCCTCCCCGTCTCTTTCTCTTTCCACCCTCTCTTCCTATTTTATCCCCCTCACTCGTGCATACAGATTCGAGAACTGCCACTGAAACCTTGCAACAAGAACATTTACGTGGCAACATTCATCTGACACTCAAACGTCAAGGTCGTTACATTCTTATCAACTGGGTGCCAGGTCATGTAAGAATTCCAGTAAATGGCATTGTAGATGAAGCTTTAAACGTTGAACTAAGAGGTGGAATGGAGACATTTACATACCACAGAGTCTAGCACAGATTCAGAAAATAGCTAGACATAGAGCATCGCAAAACACTTAGTGATCATAACACAGCGGGTGTAGCATCAGGATCTGTGAATTACAAACCTCTTGTTTTGGTGAAAGTTAACAATTGGAAAACAGGAGCACATGTACACCACACAATACTTTGATACTCATGTGCAGGTTCCGGAAGAAGTGAGGAAATGTCAGTACTGGAAAAATGCCCGTCAGACTACTAGAATATTATCTAACAAAATGCAAAGTTACAAACCAAATAAAATTTTAATTGATATTTAACAGTAGAGAAAAATTTATTAAACACACTGGACATAATCTAATTGAAGTCAACATACGAGTCATAAATATTCATCCACTGCCTATTTAAGACAGAAAAGAGTAACACATACTGCCAAAGGCTTGGGCTTGTGCAGGAATATCTCTGGGGAAAAAACGAAAAAATGGTCCCCTCTCCACCTTCCCCCTTTTTTCCTTCACCCTTTCCCACCCCTCTCTTCCTTCTCCCACCGTCTCCACTCTTCTGTTTGGATTTTCCTTCGTTTAGTGTGAGGTTATGTATTAATACTACTATTATCTTTGATCCAACTTTTGGCGCAGAGCCTGTTATGTTGTTTCTGATCCCTTCATTTTCTGAACCCTTGAGATAATCTTCACTTCCAAACTCTAATCCATTCCTTACTATATGATGGTACTATGGAAACGTTGCATTCATTATGATATCTGACTATTTTGTTTCTGAGTGTTATTACATCTTGTTTATTCTTGAAACCTTTCCCCAAGTTCTCTTGCTTTATTGGTAATCCCATCTGTGATTGCGTACATTACTTTAATGAGCACTTTCTTCTGTTCATTCTCACTTACTTTCACTCTTGACGTCCATCCCACTGGAGTAGGAAGTTGTTCTCTGGACAGGGTTATTTTGATAGGGTTATTATATGGTGTAGTAGACAACAGATGATTGGAGGGTGGTGCAGTGGATGATGGGGACATATTTCTTATATAAATTTGCATGAGGAGGGACCAAGGAGGGCTTGATGTACAGAGAGCTTGGACTGACAGGGTAGGGAGTGCCTTGGAGTATTTGTGGGGGGGGGGGGGGGATGGATGGAAGGTAACGGGGTGTTGGTGGTAATCATGTGCGTTGGGATGCAACCCACAACATCTTGTCTCAGGGTTGCATTGAGTGCTGGGTGAGTGGGACGGGTGAAGCAGGGTGAGTGGGACGGGTAAAGCAGTGTGTGTTGGGTGAGTGGGATTCAACGTTTGATAACGTTAGTTGAATGTTACTAGAATATCTTTTGCCTACTGGGAGAGAGAACAGGAGGGGCAAAGGGAGAGAATGGGAATGAGCGAAGGCAGAGAGAATGGGGGATGAGAGAGGCAGAGGGAACATGAGAGAGGGAGAGATGCCTCTCCCTCCCTACCATTAGGGAGGGAAGGGCTGGGAATGGTAAGGATGTGAGAGAAGTATAAAATCTGAAATTGTAAAGTTCTCCCAGCCTCTACCTAGGTACCAGGCATTTACTGCCTGGTACCTAGGTAGAGGCTGGGAGCACACGTCATATACATATCTTTCCATGATGTTATGGTTGTGAATAATAATGTACAAGTTGTGTCTGTTTACTGTTTACTTTGCGGCCCCGACACACAGAGTGCTTACCGTGTATATATAGTGTCATAGTGATATATTCATCTCAGTGATAACTCCGATAGACAGTGCCAACCAGACAGTTGCACAAAGTGTCAACTACAGTTTATAGTGTCATGTCACAAAGCACCAAACCTCAAGTATCTCAGTATCATACATAACCTGGTGTGTATATATATATATGAATGTATATAGTATGTCATGTGTATAAGCCAACCAATACTCCCCCCCTCCCCACGGAATCCATCCCTCCAACCCGCCTCAAGGACAACCTCACCAACCAGCCCACCTCACTACCCGAGTTGACCCTCACCTCCCGACCTCAACAACCAGCCGCGGCCTCCACACCCACCACTTGCTGGTGCCCCCACACCCACCTGTTGCTGGTGCCCCCACACCCACCTGTTGCTGGTGCCCCCCACACCCAGCTGTTGCTGAAGCCCCCACACCCAGCTGTTGCTGGAGCCCCCACACCCAGCTGTTGCTGGTACCCCCACACTCACCTGTTGCTGGTACACCCACACTCAGCTGTTGCTGGTACTCCCACACTCGCCTGTTGCTGGTGCCCCCTACACCCACCTGTTGCTGGTGCCCCCACACCCACCTGTTGCTGGTGCCCCCACACCCACCTGTTGCTGGTGCCCCCACACCCACCTGTTGCTGGTGCCCCCACACCCATCTGTTGCTGGTGCCCCCACACCCACCTGTTGCTGGTGCCCCCACACCCACCTGTTGCTGGTGCCCCCACACCCACCTGTTGCTGGTGCCCCTACACCCACCTGTTGCTGGTGCCCCCTACACCCACCTGTTGCTGGTGCCCCCAAACCGACCTGGTGCTGGTGCCCCCACACCCGCCACTGGTGCTGGTGCCCCCACACCCGCCAGTTGCTGGTGCCCCCACACCCGCCAGTTGCTGGTGCCCCCACACCCGCCAGTTGCTGGTGCCCCCACACCCGCCAGTTGCTGGTGCCCCCACACCCGCCAGTTGCTGGTGCCCCCACACCCGCCAGTTGCTGGTGCCCCCACACCCGCCAGTTGCTGGTGCCCCCACACCCGCCAGTTGCTGGTGCCCCCACACCCGCCAGTTGCTGGTGCCCCCACACCCGCCAGTTGCTGGTGCCCCCACACCCGCCAGTTGCTGGTGCCCCCACACCCTCCTGTTGCAGGTGCCCCCACACCAACCTGTTGCAGGTGCCCCCACACCCACCTGTTAATGGTGCCACCACACCCACCTGTTGCTGGTGCCCCCACACCCTGCCTCCCACACCCACCTGTTGCTGGTGCCCCCACACCCGCCTGTTGCTGGTGCCCCCACACCCGCCTGTTGCTGGTGCCCCCACACCCGCCTGTTGCTGGTGCCCCCACACCCACCTGTTGCTGGTGCCCCCACACCCACCTGTTGCTGGTGCCCCCACACCCACCTGTTGCTGGTGCCCCCACACCCGCCAGTTGCTGGTGCCCCCACACCCGCCTGTTGCTGGTGCCCCCACACCCGCCTGTTGCTGGTGCCCCCACACCCGCCTGTTGCTGGTGCCCCCACACCCGCCTGTTGCTGGTGCCCCCACACCCGCCTGTTGCTGGTGCCCCCACACCCGCCTGTTGCTGGTGCCCCCACACCCGCCAGTGCCCCCCACACCCGCCAGTTGCTGGTGCCCCCACACCCGCCAGTTGCTGGTGCCCCCACACCCCCCCACACCCGCCCTGTTGCTGGTGCCCCCACACCCGCCAGTTGCTGGTGCCCCCACACCCGCCAGTTGCTGGTGCCCCCACACCCGCCTGTTGCACCCGCCAGTTGCTGGTGCCCCCCCACACCCGCCAGTTGCTGGTGCCCCCACACCCGCCAGTTGCTGGTGCCCCCACACCCGCCAGTTGCAGGTGCCCCCACACCCCTCCACACCCAGCCAGTTGCTGGTGCCCCCACACCCGCCTGTTGCTGGTGCCCCCACACCCGCCTGTTGCTGGTGCCCCCACACCCGCCAGTTGCTGGTGCCCCCACACCCGCCAGTTGCTGGTGCCCCCACACCCGCCAGTTGCTGGTGCCCCCACACCCGCCTGTTGCTGGTGCCCCCACACCCGCCTGTTGCTGGTGCCCCCACACCCGCCTGTTGCTGGTGCCCCCACACCCGCCTGTTGCTGGTGCCTGGTGCCCCCACACCTGCGCCTGTTGCTGGTGCCCCCACACCCGCCTGTTGCTGGTGCCCCCACACCCACCTGTTGCTGGTGCCCCCACACCCGCCTGTTGCTGGTGCCCCCACACCCGCCTGTTGCTGGTGCCCCCACACCCGCCTGTTGCTGGTGCCCCCACACCCGCCTGTTGCTGGTGCCCCCACACCCGCCTGTTGCTGGTGCCCCCACACCCGCCTGTTGCTGGTGCCCCCACACCCACCTGTTGCTGGTGCCCCCACACCCGCCTGTTGCTGGTGCCCCCACACCCGCCTGTTGCTGGTGCCCCCACACCCGCCTGTTGCTGGTGCCCCCACACCCACCTGTTGCTGGTGCCCCCACACCCACCTGTTGCTGGTGCCACCACACCCGCCTGTTGCTGGTGCCTCCACACCCACCTGTTGCTGGTGCCCCCACCAC